TTTTGTTATTTTTATGTATTTAATTTGATATACATTTGTGCATGTATTCATATAAATGATCTAAAGTTATACAAATACCATGGCATTTTTCTTTTAGCATTGATGTGATTATTTTATGTTTTGGTTTAATTATTTATTTATTTGGGTCTGGTTGTGGGGCCTAAACTCTGGGCTTGGGCACTGTCCCTCAGCTCTTCAGCTCAAGGCTAGTGCTCTACTACTTGAGCCACAGCGCCACTTCCAGCTTTTTTCTTTTTGTTTATGTGGTGCTGAGGAATCAAACCCAGGGCCTCAGGCATGCAAGGCAAGCGCTCTACCACTGAGCCACCTTCCCAGCCCCGTTTTGGTTTATTTATATTTGCTAACTTTACTAGATAATCAAGTATCACTGAAATGTTTATTAATTGTCTTGCATAGTATAGTAATGATCTGAGTATAGTATGATCTGATTAATTATTTTCAGTTTTGTGTTCAGGAAATGTGAACTCACACACACACATAAAAGCCCGTTTTCAATGTCTAAGTGCATGGAGGAGAAAGCTAAACTGGACTGCAGCACAAATAGGCTCTAACAAAAGATGGGTGGATACTGCATCTCTAAAGAAAAAAAGAAGTGATTAGTATTTTGAGAATGAGAGGAAGCCCAACAATGACAAGCCAGCCACAGAGAGGACAGAGAACATCTCTAAATACACAGAGAATGGGTTTGATTGAATTGTGCCGAGAGCTGCTGTCCAGAATGACGACTGGCTAAGCTTCCTTTGTGGGGAGTGGCTTAGGTGGTTCTGAGATATTTGCCCACAGTGTGTATTTGTTAGGAACAGAGAGCCAGGCCAGCGCCCACCTTTCTTTACTTCTCTCCCATAATACCTGATTTTGGATTTACTAAGTCTGACTTAGGTTCTTGACTTAGATTTTTTTTAAGAAAATATTACTTTTTTTTTTTTTTTTGTCCGTCATGGGGTTTGAACTCTGGGCTTGGGCGCTATCCCTCGGCTCTTCAGCTCAAGGCGAGCGCACTACCACTTGGGCCACAGGGCCACTTCTGGTTTTCCAGTGGTTTATTGGAGATCAGAGTCTCACAGACTTGCCTGTCCAGGCTGGCTTTGACTGTGATCCTCAGATCTCAGCCTCCTGAGTAGCTAGGATTACAGGTGTGAGCCACCAGCACCGGGCTGAAAATATTACTTCTTTTACTTCTTACCCCATACAAGAGAAATAGTGACAGTTTAAATGTTTGTTTTTAAGTACACTCCAATGTTAGGTTAACTCATTTACTACTACTGAAAATAGATATTAGAAAGGTTTAATTCCCAGAACATTGGAACAGTAAAGTAGATTTCTGTCCACAGAGAGGCTAAAAGGAGGTCTGAATGTGACTATATGAGTGAATGAACAGCACATCACATGTACCTCCTGAGTTATCTGTATTCGTAGATTTGTGCATTGGTTATAAAACAATCCCTGTAGTTTATATAATCCTCCACTCTTTCTTTATCCTTTATATTAGCTTCCTGTGGTTGTTCATGTAAAGATATAAATTAATTCAATAAATGAGCTTTCCTTACTGATATTCAGGTGATTAATTATATAGGTAACATGCTTACTGTGTGAGGAAAAGTAGTTGGGTCAGGTACTGCAAGACTACAACTGCAAAGTAAAACAGCATCTGTGGGTAAACACCAGCAGAATCTAATAGGACTTTGAGATAAGTTCTGTCATATTTCAGTACTCGGCTTCTCCTCGAGGATCTATTTGAGTAAAAAATTTGGTCCTGTGTGATATCAACTCACTCAGCCTGCATCTGGGACACAAGAAGTGTTCAGTGGCATGTGGTTAGTCAGGATAAACCTATTTTAAAATAAAGAATGGCCCCCCATTTGTTCAGCCCAAATACTAGCAGATGCCTTTGGAAAAATAATACAAGAGGCACTGGACTTTTTAACTCTATACTGTTTTATGTTTCCAGAACCAAAACCAGCTTTCTTATCTCCATAGACATAGAAATGCTCCTCTGAGTGAGCTTGATTACTGAGCTCCTTTTTATTCTGACCATGCAATTCCCAATTTGCATCATTTAGCTGATGAATTATAACTTCATATTACTATTTACATTACAGTCAATATTTGCCATATCCCTATAAAGTATTTCCAGAATTGAAAATTTACTTAGTACATGTCAGTGGTTTAGACCTGAACTTTATCTTTCTTATTTCTCGTACTAGCCATTTTGGGTATTTTTTTATCTCCTTTTCCAATATGAGTCCTAAAGAACTTAGACAAATTGCCTAAGGTTAAGTAATTAGTAAAGTGGAGCTTAAGCTGGAACTCACATCTACCTTGTTTCAAAGGCCAAGGTTTAAATATTGTACTCACTTTAGAGCTGTTCAAGTCCCACTAATCACAATGACACCCCGAAAGACATCATTTAAAACTTTTCAGTTTGTATATTGATGATAAATCCTCTCCTCTTATCCCTTCATGTTCACTCTGCTGCATTGTGAGTTTCAGAGCAGAGAATGTTTCTGAACTTACTGTGACATCACAACTTAGAATTGGGCTTAGCATGCCATAGGCATCTAATAAATGTTAATTGCATAAATGAAAAAAAATTGGCATTTATTTTCTGATTTCTCATTGCTTGTAGGCTAAGGGCAAGACAGACTAGCATGAACAATTATGGTTCAACATGGAAAGTCCCAAAACAGAATCAGGAGCAATGCTAGGGGAGTCACAGAGGCTTTTCCTGATAAGATGCTATTTGCTCTGTGTGCTCTGAAGGGCATGAAGAGAGCATGATGTGTGCAAAAAGTCTTAGGAACAAGATGTCAGATTATGTGTGGAGAATGCATAAGATACTCTCTCTCACTGCAAAGAGGTATACCTAACCAGCCTTTGGGCATCCTCCTTCAGGATGCCCATGTACTACAAACTGACCAGCATCATAGCCGTGGTTACTTTCTTCAATACATTTTATTTACCTCTTATCTTCCTCATGATGTAAGAAAGCAGGATGTTTTGACAGGGAGTTCCTTTCTGGCAGATACTCTCTCTTTTCCATTGTTTTTATCTCATAGCCTAGCAGAGTTTGTAATTGTTGACCTAGAGTCAGTGTATAATGTATTAAAATATATAATAAACAAAGGAGTAAATGGCATAGTTTACTAGCAGTTTATTTTTTTTAAAAATAAAGCTTTGAATTTTTGTTTAGGTTAGGCAACAAAAATATTTTAGTTTTAGATAGCAAGTAGTGGTAGCATTTGGGGAAAATGTATTCTCTATATAGAGTCTTGGAATGACAAAGATAAAATGACTTTATGATTGAAGAAACTGAGATCTGAGATTTGAAATGAATTACTCATGGTTCCAAAGCAGATTTTTTTTATCGAAATAGGACTTGAATTTAGTGACTATGGATCTCAGTTAAATTTGCTTTCAGCAAGGTCTGTATTATGATGGTCTGACCATACAGCTTTAATGGTACAATTTGAGCTCCTCACTGGAAGATAACTGATAAAATAGAGTCAATGTCAAATCAGAAGAAGAAAGTGTTAGGAGGAAGAGCAGATGTGGAAATTAATTTTGTTCAGAGAAGAAAATACTTACTTGGGGCGGGGACAGCTGTAGAATGAGTGAGGAAACCTAAGTCATTATTCTTTGGCTCTAAAGAGGAAAAATAGGAATCATGAGGAGAAACTAGAGATAAATGAAATTCAAGTCAACATGAATTGTTTAGAAAATTAGAATTGCCCAAGAATGAAATTCCAAATGATAAGAAATACCTAAGCAGAGGCTGCATGACTATGTCATTACTAGACTTTGAATTCCTTTAGATTAGAGACCATATTTTGTTGGTATTTCCCAAGGGTCTTGAATAGTGCCTAGAAAATAATATACGCTCACTGAGAATTTGTTATTCAGCTTTTAAAAGGGATTTCTTCACAGGGAGTGTAAGTGTGGAGGAGGAAGGCAGAAATGTTGCTGAAAAATTTTCTAACACTTAGGCTTTTGATATTTGATAAAAATTCACATCAACATCCATCAAAGAAAGTGATTTCATTCTCATATAGCAAAAAGTCAATGGGACTGTTTCTTTTACTGTGCCTACATCATTACTTTAGAAAGAAAAAGGCTTTGTCACAATTACCTTACCCAGGAGACCATGACTAGTTGTATCTCTGCATGTGTTAGCCAAACTAAACTTTAGAAATGATTTGTCTTGTGTAAGTATCATAGGATCCATTCATAGGAACACTGAGTGTTGCATTTGTCAGTACATTCATGATTTTCAAACTGATGAGTAACTTACAAAGCCACATTTTTCAAAATCCGAAATCCTGCTTGGATTGTCACTTTTATTTATATGTTAACAATACCTTAAATATTGCCCTAGAAAATTTGTGTTTTTTTTTCACTGAATGTTTTATATTCAAAGCATTCTGATTTAATGTTTGTGTCTGATTTTGCAAGGGCATAGGAGTAGATATAATTTCTTTCAGTCTATGCAAGGATCATTTGAATAAGACAAAGGGAACTTCATTTAAATTACCCATAGGAACCATGGAAGCAATGTGCAAATAAATGATGATAAAGAAATTATTTGAATTGTTATTTCATCTTATTCTTTGAGAATGCTCAGAATTTTTTTTCCTACACATCTGTGTGTGTGCAAATGTGAAAAAATAAATACCAGCATCAGCTTTTCTTTAAAGTCTTTTCAACTCTTGAGGATTTTCTTTCTTATATGCTCAAAACCATATTTTCCTGGGGCTGGGAAGGTGGCTCAGTGGTAGAGTGCTTGCCTTGCATGCACGAGGCCCTGGGTTTGATTCCTCAGCACTACATGAGTAGCTTAAAACAGAAGTGGTGCCCTGTCTCAAGTGGTAAAGCACTAGTCTTGAGCTGAAGAACTGAGGGACAGTGCCCAGGCCAAGAGTTCAGGCCCCATGACTGACAAATAGAAACACAAAACAAAAAAACATATTTTCCTGTTTTTATGTCTTAGATCCATTTTAAATAATGATGCCTTATTAGCCATAAAGCAATTCATGGGATATTTGTTTGTTCTAATACCATTTCAAAAAATATAAACTACAAATACAGCAAAGTTCTCCCAGGAGGTTGTAATTTTTGTATTTCCCATTTAATGATGTTATTAATTCTTCTCATCTAAATAGAATAGAGTTTGCCACAGTGTGTATAGTTAATATGCAACTTATTTAGGACCCTTTGGACATATGCACTTAATTGAGAGATTCCAAGCTTAGAATCTTCCCCAGTAAAAACCCTTTTCTTTACAAGTTATAAAACATTTTCCCTCCCCTTCACCTTTGATTTAATTTATATGTCAGAGATCTTTCTGCCCTGGGAATGAAAATGGAAGACCAGGGAAGAAAGTAGATGAAATAGAGATGATCCAAAGATCTGAAATATTTTATCCCCACTTGATATAAAGCAAATTATTTTTTCTCTTTTCCAATAACCATCATTTCCCTTGATCTTAGAATCACTCAAAATCTAGCCACTGAGTCCTGTACAAACTAATGTGCTGTCTGAAGATGTGCAGAAAGATGAAATAGCAGGACCTTTACAGATTTGACTTGTTTGGTTATATTTACAGTTATGAAATACTGCAAATTTAAGAATGCCATTTTTTCTCATCACTGAGTATTTATTATATATAACAAATACATGGGAAAGAAAAAACTATATTGTGTGATATAAATAGTTTATTTACATTACAGAAAAACATCAAGACAATGTATACTATTTCAAATATATCCATACATAATCAAATATAGCTGTAGTACATGTTTTCATTGGTGTAGATTACCACAAATGCAAGGCAACATGTGTAGATCTTTTGTCTTATCTTTTGTCTATAATACTGTATTGTGTAGTCCAAGGTGTTAGTTGTCCAGTCACTGTGAAACATGCTCCCTTTAAATTAACCTCGTGGACGCTCTGGTTGTGTTGTCTGAACTGTAGTGCCCTGTATTTTGCTTCTGTCTGTGAATTCTGTTGCTTCTGGGGCATTTCCTAGAAGGTTGGAAAGTTCAGAAATCTTAGTCCAATGTGATTACTTAAAATTTGGTCCTATAATCACAGAGCAGAACTGTGGATTATGCAAATTATTTACATTTTTCAGATGAAAGAATTAATGACTAGTAGATCTGGGATTACTTTGTAAAAGTTAGTTTTGGCTTCTCCTTGTGGTTGTCTTTGGGCTTCTGTTGAGAATTGAAGAACAGAAGTGGAAGTTGAACAGAAATACGTTTACCTCATTCCCAGCTGCTCACTCATTAAGGCACAATGGATAGACTCCTCAGTACAATGCAATCCAGCAAGCCTGATCTCATCTTATCTCACTTTAAAGGTCTTCAACAAATTCATATTCAAATGTCTTAAGGATGAATGTTTTATTGACATTTCAATGCTACAAGTTAAATTTTATCATACACGATGACGAGCCAACAGTTATTATCTGATATGTAATTGAAAAAAATGTTTTGGTTTGGCATAATATGTTCTTTTATGTGCATCAATACTATAAAGTAGAAACAGAAATTGATACTAATTATGTAGCTTCTATAAAAAGCTAATCTGCAGGTAAAGTACCTGAAAAACCTCTGGTCTATTGTTTTTTTAGTGCAATAAAAGATAGCTTTGATCATGCAAGCAAGGACAATATAATGTTCATATAAAATAACATTTCAGCAAGCTATGGGATATTGGAAAATATACATGAATATACACATACATACACATGCAGTGTGTTTACATGTGTGTGTGTGTGTGTGTGTGTGTGTGTGTGTGTGTGTGTTTCTTTTAGATGTATCTTTAAAAATGAGAATGGAGCTGGAAATTGCATTTCCAGCAAGTAGGAGCTAAAGGTAAAGACTGAAAGTTTAATTTCTCAACATGGCAGCTCTTTTCATTTTGGAACATGTCTGTATATTTGCATATTTCTCTGGCACAGATTGTTAGAGAAGAGGCAGGTGTTTGGATAAAATATACAGAAAAAAGGAGGAAGGAATTAAGAACAAAGGAAAGAAAGAGAGAAATAGAAAAGAGGAGAGACTATGTCAAATAACATTTTTTAAATGAAGAAAATGAAGTAATCTCTACAAAAGTGCTGGATATTTTGGAATAGGTCTTAACACATTTACCAGGTATATATAGATAGCCTAGATAAAAAGTCTGGTTTCTAAATAGAGTGTCTTTGAACAAATAAAATGAATACACTGTTGGAATTAGTGTAATTTATTGACTACTATGATTGTTGGGAAGGCTTTGGGACATTTGCTGTTCAAAAGAGAGATTAAAAATTCATTACCAAAATGTTTTTATGCCATTTCTCTCTCAAAAGTAAATAGAACATAAGGCTTCCTTTAAATTTCACATAGAAGACAAAAAAGGCCATATACCTTGAAAACAAAACTTACTCTAATTTGAAGCTCAGTTTTGGTAATCTTGAGTATAGGAATACACAGAATCCTGACCAGTATAAAGGCAATATGACCAGTGGTAAAATGTACAAGCTCTGGCACTGGGCCACTTGATGCCATTTTTTTACTCTTATTGTTCGGCTAAGCAAACATAATACTTTGATGACCTCTGATAGCTCACGGTTTTGACTTTGAAAATTAGGATATTTGCACATTCTTTGTAATGTTATTAAATGCCGATATATATGTGTGTGTATGCCTGTGCACATACATATATGAATATATGACACTCATAACATATACATAATTCCTGGTAAAGGAAAAGTATATTTCATTTATTTTTATATGTATGAGAATGAAACTTATCAATAGCAGAATTGAAAATATCTGCTGATGGATTGAAGTTTTGGCCTTTTCCATTATGTAAAGAACAAATTTTTATGATATTATCTCCATTAAATATGAGCTTTTCAGAGCTTGCCTGGACTGTAGAAACTTAAGAATCTTAGAATAGTATAGTATAATTTCCTGTGTTTTTAGTATCTTTTCTATCTTTTTATGGTTAATATTTTTGGCTTCTTGAGTTATCTTTATATTTCTCAGAGTCTATTTTAATATAATCCATTGATTTGCTTGGCATCTAAACGTGAAAGTCAAGATGATGAACTCGACTTGGCTTAAAGCAGCACAAAGCTCCAGTCAATGATCTCCCCTTAAGCCTTTAGGCCAGGGAAGGATTTATGAACCATATTCTGTCTTTTTCAAGAGCAAACTCCACACTTGTCCCCAAAGAAGGTAGTGCAATACAAGATACTAAGATGTATTATGCCTTTTATTTTCTAAAGATACAGTATTTTTTATTTTCTTGCTTTTTGAAAATAAGTTTTTGGAATCATTCTGATTTACTGTAGAGGTGTACAGATGAGTGGCAGTCTAAATGCCTCATGGATTTGACGAAAATCTTAAAGAACTTCATTGGAACTTTTTCAAGGAAAGTGAAATCAGGTCAGAAAAGAAATATCTTCAATAACTTCTCTGGTCACACAGGACATAAATGATGCATTTGGTTTAGAATCTAATTCTTGGTTACCATGGGTTTGTACACTAACATAGTTAAAGAAGTCCCTGGCCTCAATCCTGAAATCCAAGCTAAACATCAAACATCATTAATCAGTCAGAGTTTATATTCCCATTGAAACTGGGTGAAATTTCTTTTCTCTCTCAATCTGCTTCTCCATGAAACAATTACCTTTCAATTGGACTTGCAGTTTCAAAAAAAATTGTGATAATCTCTGCATGTTTCTCCCTTTATCAAAGGTCTTCATTTCCTGTAACATAATCTTTCTCATTATAACTGTGCAAATTTTGTGGTTAGAATTTTCAGATAAAAAGTATTTGTTGTTTATACCAAGTATGTTAAAATGGAGACTTATTTAGAATGAGAAGTGTTATAAATAAAAGCCATAATTTAGTACTTTGGAAATCTTATTTAAAAATCTGCTATGATCTCATTTGGCATACTGGCCTAGATTAGAAAATACTGATCATTTAAATAGGTTATTAAAAGCCTGAATAAGGGCTAACCTATTTCTAACTAAAAGACAAAACCTTATTTTAAAAATGGTTGGCTTTATATGTCAGAGAAAACAGACATTTGCTTAGAAAATGAATATTCCTCATCAAAAATATGGAAATAAACAGTCCAACATGAAAATTCATACTTTCCATTTGGCTATTCAAATGCTCTTAAAATGAGAAGAAGAGACTCATGGAGAATGAGTGGATGTAGATCAATGAGGGAATTCACAACCAGAGAAATCTGACTTAGAAAGGAAGATCAACACAGCTCATTATTTGCGTGACCATCAAGCTTAGTGACTGACCTTGTGATGCAGAGGACCACCACACAGATGACAGCAATCTGAATTGTTCCAATCACAGCCGCGATTAAGACATACTGAAACCGTACAGGACCAGGAACAACATACAGAACACTGTAGTCCTTTTTTTCACAGTGTTGTCCAGTATAACCAGCATCACACCTAGAAGAAATGGTAGTGTCCAGTTACCTGCAGCTGCTGAATTCTTCTTTGGAGAAAAGAACTCTACTTAACATGTTTACTTCAAAAACAAAAAATTGTTTCTAATGACAAAGTATGAAACATCCTCCATCCTATTGTCTATAAAATATTGAAAAATATTAGGACTAGAAAATCAGCAACAATCATGTATTTAATTTGCTGGTTAAAAGTCATTTGCTGATGTTGGAGACTTAAATTTTTAACCAGCTGAGATAAACTCTGAGAAGGAATGATCCCTCACCCAAATCCTCTGAAAAATTTAGGTAGAAAATATGCATATTAAAATAAGAACTTGGGGCTGGGAAGATGGCTCAGTGGTAGAGCGCTTGCCTTGCATGCTCGAGGCCCTGAGTTCGATTCCTCAGCACCACATAAGCAGAAAGAAAAAAGCCGGAAGTGGCGCTGTGGCTCAAGTGGTAGAGTGCTAGCCTTGAGCTGAAGAGCTGAGGGACAGCGCCCAGGCCCAGAGTTCAGGCCCCATGACGGGACCAAAAATAAATAAATAAATAAAATAAGAACTTGTCAATGAAGTGAGAAATTTCATTACACATTTGTGAAAAGGGTCAACTTGTCATTGCTTTGCAATCTATCTTGGTATTTGACTGAGTTTTTTTTATAACTACATTCAGAGGTCTGTTGGGTATCAGGTAGGTTTAATGTCTGACTTCAGGAGATGGCAGGTTGTAAGCAAAAGCAAGGCAGTTGATGGTGGGAGAGGGGGATAAGTGGTGAAGGGGAAGAAGGAATGGGAGAGGAGGAGAGGAATAGGGAGGGAGAAAGGAACAGAGAGAAAGAGCAGGAGAGTGTGAGCTCTTCTGTTCTACACCTACATATTGAAGCCTTTTAAAAAAAACTATACACCCTTTGTGTATTAATTTAAATGTAAATATATTTGTTGTTTTTCATTTTAGCTTTGCCATCTTGGAAATAATAGCCATATATCCTAGATATGAATACTCAACAGATATTTATAAACTAAATCCAGACAAGTAATTTTGTTGTGTCTCTACTTAGCTTAAAACCGTGTAGGTGTGACTAATCATCTTACCACACCAGGCTCTGTGGATAGCAGATGCATAGAAAAGAGTGAGTGCCTAGTAAAACTTAGTTTGATGGCATTTGTTAGAGGATCTGCAGGACTTTGGAAAGGATGAGAACTCTAAAGTAATTCATTTAAGAAATATTTAGTGGGAAATGCCGAGCATTGCTCTAGGTGCAGCGGAAAGAGTGGTGACTAATAAAGAGTAGCCTGTGCATAAAAGCAAAACACATTTTTAAATTTTGGCACATGAGTTAATGTATCATGATGTATGACAAATAAGCTGTGTATCTAAGACATGCACATCTTATGTTTTCGTGTGTGTGTGTGTGTAAAGAGGCAGAGAAGTTTTGTTGCTGGTCCCCATGTGAATATCTAAAATAGCAAAAGGCCAACTAATCTTACAAAAAACATTTAATATTTGAGTTGTATACTTTTATTTTATGAACTATAAATGTTTAAAGAATGGAAACATTACCTGCAAGATGGCTCCTGCATATTGATGGAATGTTCACACTTTCCGTGCATACAGAAGCCATTGTAGTGTTCTGGACAAGGTATGTGGTGTTCTCTGGCACTTTCTTCTAATTTGTTAGCATTCTCTGTGAATACAGATAAAAAGCAAGTACCCCCTGTAAACACTTTCTTAGCTCAGTAAGATCATCCAGTATAGTAAGAAGCAGAGCAACAGTAGGTAAAGCTCTTTGAAAGGGCAAGAATTAAAAGGCCAAGCTTCTGAAGAAAGAGAGGAGGAGAATTGAAAAACACATCTTTACAATCATGTTTAAAGATGAAACTACAAAATTATCTAGTACTTTTCATGCTTTTATGCAATTTCTTCCATCTTTAACAGCCAGTGATGTTTTTATGACTTGTAAGACTGAACTTTCCTTGTGTAGAGACACTACATTGATCATAAAATAATCCAAGGAGAAGTTTTTTAAAAAAAATTTCAAAGCCCAGCATAATGTCCCTAATAGTAAATTCCTGTAATTGCTTGATACTTTCTCAATGTGAGAGCTTAAAAGTTAAAATTTGGCCACATTCAATTGTTAAACAGACATTTTCCAAACCAAATGCAAATACCAAACTAATGTATTCTTTTAGATTTTAAAATCTACCATGATGTTTTTACCAGCATTCACACATTTTTTCAAAAGAAACATCAAATTTTATTTGTGCAAAATAAATTGAACCAAGATTTAAGCTGTGTATGATACATTAATTTTATCCATATGCATATGAGAAATTATTTCAATGCTTCTCGTAATTTTCAACATTTCAAACTTCTTTCAAAGTAACTACAACTCTTTTCAGTTATTTTGGCATATTCCTTCAGCATACTTGATCCCTTTTATAAAAATATGCTATCTATCACTTACACACACAAAAATTGTTGCCTGTGATGGTTTTGGAACTCTTCCATCTACTATCTCTCAATATTCTATTTTCAGGTATATAATTACTGAAATAAGCAAAATGTATTGTTTGAAGCAACAAACATGCATCAAAGAAAGTTATTAAACACAAGCTAAAGCTATAGAAATAATTAATCTGTACATTTTTATTGCCAAAAATAAAACTACTAAAAGTGCAAATGTTCAGAATGATATATTCACATGGTGCATACAGCATGCTTAAAGTAGATTTTAATTCATACACTATAGCCTGTATTAGAAATATTTTGTAAAATTTAAACTTAAAGAAAAATGCAACTGAAAATGAACCCTTTTCCTTCAGATTAAGAAGTTTCATTTTATCATGTTTTTAAAAGACATTTAAGTATTTTCTGACTTTTGTTTATGTTTACCTCATATTTGTAATGCCATCTTTATATGTTCACTTTATGTACATTTTATCTTTTTCATCTCTTCTATAATCTGAAGTCTGATATTTTTGAGAATTTCTGCCCCAAGAAATGGGGAAATACTACTTTTTTGACTTCATTCTAATAACAGTCAGTGTAAAAATACTTTGTAACACCATACTAGTTAGTCAACAGTGATGGAAGTTTGTAGGTTATTACTTTTATGAAATGGATTACTTGCTAGTATTTCTACATAGGAATATTTTCATTCTAATATATCCAAATAATTTTTAATAGCAGTATGCACAATGAGCATATTCACTGGGAGATAAGGCATGGCACTGGCATTAGTGCATCACACAAATGTATGATTTATGTTAAGGCAGAACTGTAAAACATCTTCCACACATTTTAGAATGTAGATGCCATCTGTAAACCATTAATGTCTGGAGTAAATTGATAAATATGTTTAGTGCTTTCTTGCATATGTATATTTATGTGTATTGCTGTGATGACTAATCTTTCAAGTTACATAGCCAAATTGATATGGGGTTTACCAGAGTTTGGTAAAGATCTTGTAGATGAAATTTCTTCATTCATTTGCCCTGTATCTGTGTCTCTTTTTCTATGATAATTAATGATACTATGTTTGCACATACAATTTTTACACTAATAATTATCATTAAAGTTTTAGAATTCCTTTTAGTTTCCCTGTACTGTTTTAAGTTATTTTGGAATTGTGTGCATGTTTGTTTGGTAGCAACTTGTAGCTCTGACTAGTAGTGTTGGGTGAAATTTTCAATATGGAACATCTGATTAAAATGGAAGCAGAGATTCCATAATTGTTGCATCCATCTTGCAGTATTTTATAGTCATGAAGAAGATGAGGTTTACTTTGTATTATGATCAGGGGACAAGAAGAAGGGTGGTCAAACTTGCTATTTAAAGCAAACTTTATCATGGGTATTTGTCACTTCTACTGCTGATGAGATAAACCAGTACTGATTTTCACCCTTATGTCTGTATCTTATTCCTGTAGTGTTAATAACCCTAGAATGCTTCTGCACACCTGCACACAGGGAAAATTTTTGTGATCTTCCTGAAATTCTGTTGCACACTGTCTTTTTTAGACAAGTATTTTTCAAACATGCCTTATTAAAGGGCTATTTTTCTTTCTGTCAGCTACATGAGAAGATCAAGGTTTCCCTTAATTCAAAAATCCATTTTTTAATTTTTAACACTATACCCCAACCCATAATTACAGCTTGTTACTATATTTGAGACATATCTACAACTATGAACTGAAGTCCAAGGGCCAAATAAGTGCTTGTTTCTTTGAAGTTATTGCCTTGGTGTGTGAAGAGCTGGTTTATTATCCTACTGTAATGATCATGTGGGTGGGGAATAGTTTCCATCATAAAATGTGCTAATTAGTTTATACCATTCCTTATGAGCTTGGAGTGCTCTGCTGTGCTGCTTATAGGATTCCATCAAGTAAGTAAGTAGAGAGATTGAAAATAAATGAGTAGAAGAAATGATCCCTGGGCAAGAAAATGAAGAGTCATCAATATATGTCAACAAATTTATAGTCAATCCAACCAAGTAAACCAGTTGATTGAAAACCTGAATATACAACCACTTCTAGTAATGCAATAGAAATACTTTAGAAATGATATTTAAGTATTATTAAGAAGAGCAGAAACACAAAAAAAATCTAATTTCCCAAACAAATATACATATGAACCATGATGAATATCAGTGATTCAGAAGCTTATGCATGCTGAGTATTAAAACAACAATAGCACAATTAAAGATTTAAAATTAGATAAAAATTAGCTTGTGAAATGCTGCATGTGTCCTCTAGCAGTGGATGACTTAGACATTGATTTCTCTGTCATCCATTTAAAAAAAGAGATTCAAGGGGTATGCTCTTTCTTCTAAGAGATAGACAGTGGTGATGACAGGAACTCTTCATGCCTCTGTTTAAAATCCTCAACCAGATTCCTGTTTAAATGTTTACAAATGGTTTGTTCTGAAGGACATCTTGACCCTTTTATGAGAAAATCTCTGGTATAACTTGAGTTATTTGTAGCAGAGCTAATAGGGCCACGTGCCCATTGCTAGTCAACACTGGTCAAGAGCAGCTGAAGTAGACTGCTCTAAAGCACAGCTACACATAATTGTTTCTGCCCTGGTACTTGTGAGAAAGTGATAGAGAAAGCCAATAAGACAGGAAAGATGGCAAATGGCAAAGCCTCACCTTACTGCAAGTCATTTGTAAGTGGATAGGAAGGGAACAAAGACAAACTTAGCAGTTTCTACTTAAATCAATACAGCTCAGAGTGCTCTGTGTGTGTGTGTGTGTGTGTGTGTGTGTGCATGTGTGTGTATACATGCATGCATATGTGTTTACCATTACTCCTATCATTTTCTTCCCTTCTGAAACTGGAAATAAAATATTCAGAGAATGAATCTATTAAAGCAGTACCTTATGGATTAAGACAGAAACACGAATGTATCTAAAGAAAGAAGGCTTCTCTTTGAAAAAGGGTAGGGCCTGACCAAAAAAGTTTGAAAGTCAAGTCCTGTCATCTATTCAAGTGCTGTCCAGGGCTATATGCCCTGAAAAGAAAACAGAGCTAGTAAACTTCCCAGTTAGAAACAGATGTGCCATGTTATTAGTGTCTGATGCTATTAATGCATTCACAGTCTACCCATTTCTCTTGTTCTGATACTCTACTCTCTTATAAAATAATTTCATTTCTGTGTAGCCTACAACTAGGGACTAGCTTTAACAGTAAAACTTAAAAATATTCTCCATTTGAGAGTTGAATATTTCATTTGAATCTCTGAGCGCTTTCAAGGAGCGTAAGTCACCTTTCTTCATAATTTTGATGTTTCATAAAATAAATATGAAAAAATATTGAACATCTTCATAGCTGAAAGACCAGTCATTAATCATTGCACACATTGGAAGGTCTCTTGGGGCCAGTCAGATGATATTTTCTAATGCTACCCTACCTAGATTTACTTAGGTTTTTATTTCAAATAAATTCAAATCTGTTAGGTCACTGACTCCCCCAAAGGTCCTGGATTTGGTGTAAAGACTTCAGGATAATTTGGCAAGACCCCAAGGAAGTGTTAAAATCAAGGATTAAGGAGACACTTTAGGAAAGCAGATTGCTACTGCTCACTTTAAAGTACTCAAACTCTTTAGTAGGCAAATGGTCATCACTGTGTGGTGATGTGGTGAGTCTCTGGTGGTACTGAAAAATGCTATATAGCTATTTCTCAGAGATATGCAATGTGCTATTAATGGTGGATTGGAGCATTTTGGACATCATGGTCCTTTGAACTCTGAAAGAAATATTCACTTACATTGTATTCACACATTACTAATAAGTATTTATTAAATTTATTGAAAAACATTGTATTTGATAGACTACAAAAAGACATTGATTGCATATGAAATTATTTTTGCTTTCATTATGGGGTATTTTATTTTTTTAAAAATATAAAAATCTCAAAATTTTGACAATGTTTAATTCTAGCATAAAATGATCTTTCTATGGATAGCCATCCTTTTGGGGAGTAATATACTTTATGTATCTAAGTTCAATTTTTGACATCATCCTTTAATATCATTTGTTATCTTGACAAGCACATGTATGTGAGAACTTCAGTTTTGTTTATTATCTTTCTGTGGGCACACAAAATATGTTACATGTTTCAAGAGAGCCAGAATTTTTCAATATGGAATATATTTACATGATGCTACCATTTTTCATATGGTTA